TGTTTAAGAAATGATCTCATAAGTTGCATGTTTAAAAAAAAATAAACACGAGGAAATTAGTGATATTAATTTCAATTTAATTGAAAACATTCATAATGTGAGCTTTAAAAACTGTATTAAAGAGCAAAGTGATACTACCAGTAAGCTAGAGAAATACGAACTAGATAAAATTCTTAAATATAAATTTGAAACTTTAGTTAACAAAATACTCATATAGTTAAATCAATGTAACTAAATTTGAGAAATATGATATTCACAAAACAAGGAATACAATCACAGAAGGTGTTATTAACTTAAGTGATGCAACCAAATCATTACTCAATAGAGAACCGAATTTTGCAATTCCAACTAGAGTAAATGTGATACAGAATTAGACATTTTATCATTTTTCCAGCAAACTTTTCATTATATGTCAAAGAAAAAAATATTTATTAAAAAAACCAGAATGGAAGCAGTAGAAATTTGACATAACAAAGAAAAAAACATCAATTGTCAGTTAACACACTTTCGAATCCACCTTTTAATCATCCTAAGACACCAGCAGTGAAAGGACAGAACATAATAAAAACATGTGTCGAGCATTTCAGGAAAATTTCATAATTACATAATAAAACCTAATTTACCTTCTCATGAGAAGAAAGTTTTGTATAAATTAAAAGATAACAGTGATATTATAGTTAAAGAATCAAATAAAAGTAAAAGATTCACAGTTGTAGCAAAACACAATTACGAGTGAAAGCTTTATATATTCATTTTTTTTTAATGAAGAAACTATCTCAAATTAAACATATATCCTACTAAAACATTTGAAAGTAAAAGCAGAGTTATCTTAAATAAATTGAAGAAAGATACTTATATAGCTCCACAACTAGTGAACTGTAAAAACTGTATAAGAGTCGAGTCCTAGAATTCTATGGCCATCCTAAAGAATCATAAGTTTGATTTACACCTGATATTCATAGCATTTGCTTGCAAATCTCTGGTTGAAGATATGTCATGGATAGACTACTGCACCCATTACTGAATTCAGTCCAAGTTTGTATAAACAGCATGTCATTTTCTTCAACAGTCACATAATAACTCACACCAAGTGGCGTAGCAAGGGTTATCAGCATCCGGGGGCAAAGACACTTTTGGCACCCCAACCTCTGAAATGTTTTGATTATTTGTTTTGGGACTCATTACCCACTTAGTGACAATAACATAAAGAATTAATTACCGCCTTACACTGACCTAAAATAGTCACAATATAACATCTCATGATATCACAACTGTAAACTTGGAACTAATGAAGTATAGCTTACTAGGTGTACTTACTTAATTTGTAAACCATTTTTATAGTT